GGGGCAGTGGCTGCGCCAGGCTGACCTGGGGGAGAGACCCAGCTGGCCAGCTGGCACTTCCGGGTGCAGGGCCCGAATCGGCCTGAGGCCGGCCCTGCCGGCAGTCACCAGGCACACTGAGGCCCGATATTTTTTTCCTGTGGCCCGGTAGCGGGCCGCAGCCCATAGTTTGGGAAACGCTGGCCTGGAGGACAGCCTGTAGAAACCACTACAGAAACTGCTGCAGAAACTGCAGCATGAGAGATAGGGGTTGTCACGTGCCCAGAGGCAGCTCTGGCTCCATAGCAGGGAATGCTGTGGTGTCCGAAAACAGAGCAAACAAAACACACAGTTGGAATGCTTTGCTCTTCCTCAGAGAGGTAGGTAAGCAAAAGAAGAACCCGAGAAATGGCTGTACCGGGGGGTCCCTTTAAGCGCGAGTCTCAGAAAGCTTCAGGCAGCAACTCCAGGAAGTCACTGTTGACGTGATACTCTGCCTGATATGGTTCTGGGTGGTCTTAAATGCGAGTTAGCATCCAATCAGTGTGGATGTTCTATTGCGAAATAGCAAAGTGCTATTTTGATGCTCTTTTTGTGTGTAGATGGCTATTTCAAAATAAATTATTCTGGAAAATATCTTCCAGATTAGCTTATTCCAAAATAAGTGTGCAGTGTAGATGTACAGAGAATCATTTAGGTAGTGAATACATTATAGGAATAATCCAGTTACTGCTGAAGTCAATGGAAGGTTTCCTCAATGGAAGTTTTCCTATTCCTTTCAAAGTAATCAGGCTTTAATGCTTCTTGGATGTAAGCAGGGATAAGGCTGAAATATTTATTTTGATTCCCAAGTAATGTTTCTATACATGCAGAGCACACTTCAAATTTCTAATCTGTTATGCAACAAGTGTGTTTAGTTCAGGCTCATTTTCAGTTGCACTCTCCTGCTTTTGTGACTAAGCTACTGTCATATTGATTTGCTTGCAGCTAAACTGCATTACCTGGGGTAACTGAAAAGATTTCGCTCTTCATTTATTTTCATGGCTCTGGTGAAATCCTCATCCCTGCTCTGGTCCCTTTCTGTGGGGGAAAAGACAGAAGTGGCTCAAAGGAGAACTAAATGCCTCATATGAGGCTATAAGGCTGTGGAAGTGCTATGAAAAATAGCCATAAGGCTGCCTTTGGTAAATTCTCCCAAGCTCTGATCAAGGGGACATGCCTCTTACAGGCACAGCACAGAATCTTAGCCCTGGTGTCTAAGGACCTGATCCTGTAAAGTCTATGCCTCTGGAGAGATGCTGAACACTCCCAAGTCCCATTCAATTCAGTGGTAGTTGACAGTGTTCAACCTCTTGCAGAAGGCATTCAGCATTTTGCAGGATCAAGTCCATGACAATAGCTTGATAAGCGGATGGGGCTGTCTATTCATTCTGAATGAGTACTTTTGATATTTGATAGTTTCTTGACAATATGTTAACATTTGTTTTTAACACACCGAATGCCTGACAGTTTGCAGATAACAGATTGTGAAAGTCCGGAAGGTTACATGAAGACAGCAGATGAGAAATGTTTGCTCTTGAGTGTTGGATCATTTACAAACATTTAAAACACATAAGGCAATGTCAGTGTAAACAATTAAAGCAATATCTTTGGGATTTCAAACCAGTTCTGTGCTCAGATCGCACTGAAAATCTCCCATTTGCCATCTTTTAAGAAAATAAGTATTAATAAGTATAACATTGTGTTATTAAAACATGACCATATAGATCATTATTGCTACCACTGTTGTATAATTGCAACAAAGATTATATAAAATGTGTCAAGTAAGGTGTCAATAGAAAAGTTATGATTTGCTGAATTTGATTATGCTGTTTCTATGCATGGATCATTTTTTTGTATCTGAAGTTTGAATATTAACTAAGTACCTGTATTTCAAATGTTTGTTCCAATGGGAACACCAACAAGGTATTTAGAGAGTAAATTGTTAAGGAACTATTCAAATTGAATGATCCATCAAAACACACTTAATTCATAGTATCAGAGGGGTAGCCGTGTTAGTCTGAATCTGCAAAAGCGACGAGGAGTCCTGTGGCAACTTATAGACTAACTGAAGTGTAGGAGCATAAGCTTTCGTGGGCAAAGACCCACTTCGTCAGATGCATGTGAATTCATAATGAACCATGGAAGACGCCTATCTACACTTAATGGACTTTCCTGTGACCTTTCTAACTGGAGTTGGGTAATGGCCTCTGCTGTGACTTAAACCAGGCATGAACCTGTGACTCGACCATATGACTCTAAACTACATCTTGTTACTTCTGTTCTTCCCCAAACTAAGCTGAGGACTTTGTTTTAAATAGATAGTTTCCCTCCACATGACAGAAGCTAGAAAAGACCCTAGAAACATCTCTATTTTGTCTCTTTCCTGCTCAAACCTCTGGACTATGAACTTGTACTAATGGCAGCATTCTAACCAAGGGACTGAAGACCAGAGTACTCCTATCCATAGGATGGCTTGGGACAGCCACCCCAGGCCTGACACTTTGGGGAGCCCCTTCAACTGTACTGTGAGTGGGATGGTTCCCCATATTGATGGAAGCCCTCTTGGGAAAGTGGAGCAGACTGGGGTATTACCTGGGAGGCTGCTGGCATGTGCTGGCAGCAGGGGTCAGCTGTCTCCACACTCACTGCTGCTGCCACCCCATGGTAAGCCCTCCCGGTAACCTCCCCAGGTTACATAGTTCTGGAAGGAGACTTTGGGGAAGGAGCACAAGGAGAGTGAGAGGGGGCAAAGCAGGAACAGGAAGAGGCAGGGTGGAGGGTTCTAGGGTGAGGTGGTGCCCCGAGATCTCCTACAGATGGCAGGGTTCTAGTGTGAGGTGGTGCCCCGAGATCTCCTACAGATGGCCCTACTGAGGACCTTTTAATGATCTGGGAGTTACCTGAGACTTAACAAGCCAGCAGTTTATTCCATCACTGCTACAAGCCTGATCCAAAAAGCTTGCAATTATTGTGCGTATTTGATTCCTTTAACTTTCTTTCTTTCTTTCTTTCTTTCTTTCTTTCTTTCTTTCTTTCTTTCTTTCTTTCTTTCTTTCTTTCTTATTAAAGATTGGAAACAGCATGATTATTGGGCAAAATCTCTGAGTAATATATTGACCTGGCTATGCGGCTGATTCTTTGGATCAGAATAACCTTTGGCTGATGAAATTGGTGGTTTTGGTGGCAATACAAGAACTTAAGGCTACATCTACACTACATGCTTCTTGCACAAGAAACTTTTTACGCAATAGTTTTTGCGCAAAAACTTCTTGCGCAAGAGCACATCCCCACCTCAAAGCACATTGCAAAGAGAGCGTCCACACTGCATGGATGCTCCTGTGCAAGAAAGCTCTGATGGCCATTCAGGCCATTTTGTCCTGTATTTGGTATTCTCAGATATGACTCATTGAGGCACAGTGACAGTGGTTTAGTCTGGCTAGAATCCACAGAACTGGGTCAATTAAGCTCTGTATTTGGTATTCTCAGCTATGACTCATTGAGGCACAGCGACAGTGGTTTAGTCTGGCGAGAATCCACAGAACTGGGTCAATTAAGCTTTGGATCAGAACTCCACACTATTCAAAAAAATTTAATTTTGATAATGAGAGTTTTAAAGATCAGTGACCATGAGCCAGAAGGCATTATATCAGAAGCAATCAAACTGCAGGCTCTGAGAGACAGCCTATGTCTTGAGCATGAACAAAGACTGGCAGATCTTTGAATGCAAAAGAAGCAAGTCTTGGCCCTGTTGGAAAAGAGGCTGAAGAAAGAGCCAAAGAAGCTTTACTGGAGGAACTGCAGCAAGCTAAGACAGAAGTTGCCAGATACAGATCCAAATAAAATAACAATGGAACAACAGCAGAAACCGCATCAGCATAGAAGTCCTGTTTATAACAGTGTTGGCATGTTGTTTGATTATGACATGGCAGATATGTTTAATCAGGTTGATGTCATAATCCAGTCCCAACGTGAGTATGAATGTGGCTCTTCTGTGTTATCTGTAACAACCAGGGATATTTGTGAAAGGAGAGAGTGTGTAAGATACTAAGAAGTTGTCTGTATTTAACCATCTATGATATGACCAGGAAGAGGTTGTTTCTAACTTTGGGAAGGGAGAAAATAGCTGTTTGTGCAGAAAAGCACTTTATATGTGAATGAAGTTTCTGAATGTCTTTCTGAGATCTCTGCTTGATGTCTTCAGTCTCCTGAATCACTCTGTACTTTGTGCTATAATATGTTAATGTCTTTTTGAGATCTCTGCTTGATGTCTCCAGTCTCCTGGATCACTCTGTACTTTGTGCTATAATATGTGGACTAGCTCTGAAAGAATTCTTTGCTACTACAAAGCTCACTTAGAAGTCCTGTTTATAACAGTGTTGGCATGTTGTTTGATTATGACATGGCAGATATGTTTAATCAGGTTGATGTCATAATCCAGTCCCAACGTGAGTATGAATGTGGCTCTTCTGTGTTATCTGTAACAACCAGGGATATTTGTGAAAGGAGAGAGTGTGTAAGATACTAAGAAGTTGTCTGTATTTAACCATCTATGATATGGCCAGGAAGAGGTTGTTTCTAACTTTGGGAAGGGAGAAAATAGCTGTTTGTGCAGAAAAGCACTTTATATGTGAATGAAGTTTCTGAATGTCTTTCTGAGATCTCTGCTTGATGTCTTCAGTCTCCTGAATCACTCTGTACTTTGTGCTATAATATGTGGACTAGCTCTGAAAGAATTCTTTGCTACTACAAAGCTCACCATCTTTACTAGGGAACTGATCTCAGAACTGTATGCATATCTGTGTGAATACTGATATTTTAGCCAATACTCTCTTTTCTTTTTAAAATAGATTTTAGTTAATAAGAAGTGGCTGTATTTGGAGAAGATCCCGAAATATTCATTAACTTGGGAAGCAATGTTATCCTTTGGGACTGATAGAACTTATATGATAAATAAGATCTGCAGTAACCCCCATCATACTAGGGTGTTTGGTGGAAGCCTAAGGCTGGGTTGTTATAAGGGAACTGTTTTTCCTTTCTGTGCAACCAGGAAGACATTGTAGAAGCTGTTTTATGCTGACTAGATCAATTTCAGTATTGAAATATCCACCAGATTTGGGATTGTCTGTCCCATTTGTGGAATAAAGTAAAAGGTTCGGGGATGGGGCTAGTCCCAGGGAGGTGCAGAAACAGGCAAACTATTACTAAATATCTTTTAAACTTTTATTAATGGACTTCTACGTATAGGCAGTCCCCGGGTTACGTACAAGATAGGGACTGTAGGTTTGTTCTTAAGTTGAATCTGTATGTAAGTCGGAATTGGCGTCCAGATTCAGCCGCTGCTGAAACTGATCAGTTTCAACAGCGGCTGAATCTGGACGCCAGTTCTGACTTACATACAGATAACAGTTAGATTAACATCAGTCTTACTTATAAGACTAATCATTTATCTAAAACTCTTAACGCTACTACTTAACAATACCTCTAACCATTTCAGATAATGATACTTACATTTACAGACACACAAACTACAACAATAACAACAACATATTTGGTATACGTTATGTTTGGTATACGTTACGCTCTAAAGGAACTCATTTGGTTCAGTGAGCGGGAGGTGGCCCTTGGGTGATTAGTCCTCGGACCTGGCTCATATTCTGCCTTCCAGTGTTTATTTGGGATTCCTCAATTTGATACAGGAGGGGAAGTTGTTTTATAGAGAAAGCTTTTGCGTGCTTTTTGTGATAGGCTAGCAGACCCTGTCTGTTAAGTGACAGGAATAAGGGGGTGAGATAGTTTTCTGTTTTTCCCTTTCTGCCATATCAGGCATGGCACAGCCAGCACAACCAGCACGAATTTTCCATGAACTTCTTATGTCTGGTTTTTGTTCCTGCTTCCTAAATATTACAGCACGGGGCTTTTTCTTCGGGGGGAGGGTGACCTTTAGCTAGGAGGCTATACGCGCAAGGCCTGGCCAGCAAAGAGCCTGCTTTCACACCATTCTTTTCAGTTTGCCCTAATTGAGTAATCTCAGTGTGGCCCCTGTGGGACCCTGATCACAGTTTCCCAGAGCCTTTCTATTGGAGGGAGTAACGGTCAAACTACCTGGCTACGTCTAGACTACATCCCTTTTTCATAAAAGGGATGTAAATTAGGCATATCGCAATTGCTAATGAAGCGGGGATTTAAATCTCCCCCGCTTCATTAGCAATTGCGATATGCCTAATTTACATCCCTTTTATGAAAAAGGGATGTAGTCTAGACGTAGCCAGGTAGTTTGACCGTTACTCCCTCCAATAGAAAGGCTCTGGGAAACTGTGATCAGGGTGAGATTTAAATCTCCCCCGCTTCATTAGCAATTGCGATATGCCTAATTTACATCCCTTTTATGAAAAAGGGATGTAGTCTAGACGTAGCCAGGTAGTTTGACCGTTACTCCCTCCAATAGAAAGGCTCTGGGAAACTGTGATCAGGGTGAGATTTAAATCTCCCCCGCTTCATTAGCAATTGCGATATGCCTAATTTACATCCCTTTTATGAAAAAGGGATGTAGTCTAGACGTAGCCCCTGTGTTCTGAGTTATATACTTCAATATACATGGTAATCAAATGTTCTTGTTTGGAATAGAGTTAGCTCAGGGGTGAGCAAAAGGGCCTTCGTGGGGTGGATCTGGCCCACCAAGTGGGTGAATCCAACCTGTGGAGGTCCTGCTGCTCCCCCACCTCCAGGCAAATTAGGGCCTGCGGGCAGGGGAGCGCCCAAAACCTTCTACACTCTGCCAGGAGCATGTGGTGCTTTGAAGTGCCGCACGCTGCTCGCAGGGTGGGCGGTAGAGCGGAGGAGGCTTCATGTGCTCCCCTGCCCCCAGGCCAATGAGGGCCTGGGGACAGGGGAACTGCGTGAAGCTTCCTTCACCCTGCTCCAGCCCTGCGAGGAGCCCGCGGCACCATGTGTTCCTCGCAGGGCGGGAGACTTCCCGCACTCCCCAACCCCAGGCCCTGATTGGCCTGGAGGTGGGGGAGCATGCCATGGCTCTTCCAGGGCCTGGGTGCCTAGTGGGAAGGGGGGGGACAAAGGGGCTCCTCCACCCCCAGACCAATCATTGCCTGGGGGTGGGGTAGCCAGTTTAGACCCCACCCCATCCAGGGTGGCCTGGGGCTACTGCAAAAAAAATTTAGTGGCCCCCAGGCAAAAATTATTGACCATCCCTGGCTTAGCTCCTAGCTACATAGATTGGTGATGTGACAGCAAAATATATATGATAAAATGTCTGGTAAACAGAAAAAGCACTTTAGTATCTTATTTGAGTTTTGCAAGATAAAAGTAGTAAGAGATCAGGCTCAATGTCATCTAAATCACAGTAACACTGAGGAAACAGAACATACTGGGCTATAAAATAAGTCTTAGTGCCATCACCACACAGATGTTATAATACACTGTGCTGACAAACAACTTGCCTTGAGCAATATACATTTAATAGCAGAGGCTCAAAACAAAGCACTAAAGTAATCTAAATAGAACAGAAACAACTTCTGAAATTAGATAGGCTGGGCTGAGCATGATGTCTGTTGCGGAAAACTACGATTTTAGGTTATAACAGCACCTGAGATTACATTTAAGTAATAAACAGCTTAGGAGATGTATTAATATCTTCTATATTGAGTTTACTCCTGCTTTGTTAGTTTTGAAAAATAAACGAAGATGTTTGCCAACAATGCTCAAATGCCTTTAAACACCCTTCCAGCAAGGAATAAGCTAGGAGTAAGCCAGATATGGAGAGTTAAAAGTAAAGTATCACATTTTCCAGAATGATTGGAAGAACTCTGTATAGTATTTTGGCTTTTTAAAACAAATTAAGAACATTGCAAGTATATAAGAATGTATTTAAATGTATTATTTTAGAAACATCATATAATATGAGGCTCAGTTTAGTTTTAGATATGACTAGAGGCTTTGAATGGAAATGTGAGATATAAAAATAAACCTATTCCAGGCTGAGGGATTGTCTCAGTAAATTTATAAATTAAAAATAAGATAAAATATTGAAATACTGAAGTATAATTGATTAACCAGGAACACTTTAAAAACCCAGTAAAGATAACAAAAATCCTAGAATCAAACATTACTTAATAAGAAAATTATAGAATGAATTGGAAATTAAATGATTAAGAGTTCCAAGTTGGACTATGTACTGTAGAATGAGAACAAAGATTAAGAATGGGTTTTGGCAGGCAATTCAGACTTCTTAGTCTTTCATTCATCTTGTGTGTACAATGCCAGACATTTATGCAGGAAAACTAGAAAGCAAAATAGCTGGGCTATTAAACAAATAGTAAAAAAAAGTCAATATACTTTATACACTTATAAAGGTACTGTCATTAAGCATATAAGTGCTACATAATAAAACTGGTGTAAAATATGAAACTCTGACTAAAGGTTTCAAGTAGCCTAAACACACAGTCAAGCTGAAGCAAAGAATCTGGCACAAAGCCCTCAAGCAAGCCAGCCCAAGAGATGAAAAGAGTTAATTCTCAGTTAATAGAGGGCCTACTCCAGAAAGCTGCTAAGTCAAAGCTCCCAATGCTGAAATTATTGCTTTGGCTGGTCATTTCAAAGCAATGGTTTCAAGGTACAGGCAGTCCCCGGGTTACACGGATCCGACTTATGTCGGCTCCGTACTTACAAACGGGGCTTTTCTTGTCCCGGAGGACGCGGGCGGCGGGACCGCCCAGACACGCCGCAGTCCCGCTGCCCGGGTCCTCTGCAGCTTTGCTCCGCGTCTCCCTGGTCTGCTGCTTTTCTCGCCCCGAAGGACGTGGGCGGTGGGACCGTGGCGCGTCTGGGCAGTCCCACCGCCCCCGTCCTCTGCGGCGAGAAAAGCCCCGTTCGTATCTAGGGATCCGACATAAGTCGGATCCACGTAACTCGGGGACTGCCTGTATCCCTATCATTGTTTGTAGCTTGGCCTACT